GACCCTATAAAAAGCAGGCTTTGGTGTACTTTTTGTATAACTTCAAAGGTCAAAAGAATAATGTTTACATTCAGCAAGAGTAATTACCTGAATCGGTCTGTACGCCGAGCTTTTCCATGGCAGGTATAGGTTGAAATCATTACAAAACATAGAAGTCTCCCTGCACCCTTACCAGCTAGCCAACAACAAAACAAACGACACTGTCTAATAATATGCGGTAAAAGCAGAGGTTTTAGGAGCACAACTTTTGCAAAATATGTGGAAGCCGCACTGCCTTGTCAAGGCTCCTCTGTGAAGCATGGTCCTAACTCTTATCTATGAGAACCTCCGTATTGGAGCATACAGGCAGCCCCCGGGTTACATACAAGATAGGGACTGTAGGTTTGTTCTTACGTTCAATTTGTATGTAAGTTGGAACAGGTACATTTTTTAAGTGTAACTCCAGCCACAATTTTGTTTTTTTAGTTTTGGATAGCATAGGGAAGGGTTTACCCCCTGTAAAGTTTGTTGTGCTGTGTGTGCCCTTGTTCAGGTTTCACCTCACTTTCTGCCCCTGTGATAATTGGATTTTGAACATTTTGGCTTGTCGTGGAAACAAGGATTGGTGATAAAGCTTCAGTGGAGACACCCTTTTCCCATGATAACTCTTACAGGAGTGAAATTCTCTTCTTAGTTGTAGATTTCCTCTCACTTCCTGTTGTCTTAAGGACAGGAAGTGAGATTAAATCTTGCTAATGACATACAGACAGCAGTAAAAACCTGACAGTGACCCGGAAGAAGAGGCAGGCATCCCTCGTCTGCATGTCTAACAAGAGCCTAGTTCCTGTAATGTATCTACAGTACTACAAACCAGACCCAAAAACGCGGGCACTCCTCGTCAGCACAAGCACGCTAGCAGTACAACGACCCCTGCCGTTTGTAAGTAGGAGTCGTATGTAAGTCGAATGTATGTAACCTGGGGACTGCCTGTATTTAGCAGTAGATACATTGAATGCAGGTTTGCCTGGAGGGAGCCCACTCCTCCTAAAATGCCCCGGGAGCCCAGCATTTCAAAATCCACACTGAGGTCCCCCAGCACATCCCCACACCAAATACAGCCAGGCTAAAAATATATATGGCAACCGCACAACTTATAACTAGCCTTAAAGGCAAGGTGCACATGGAAGGGCTTACAGCAATACAAAACACAGACGTTTCCCAGCACCGGATAGCCTGCAACAAAGCAAAGGACACTGTCCAACTACACTAAACTCCCCATTATCCAGCATTCAAGCAACCAGCACTCTCAAGCAACTGGCAAAAAAAATTGAGGACATAATACGTCCTCGATTTTTTTTAGCAGTTGCTTGATAGACATGCGAGACACTAATAAATCTTGCTGCAACCCGCTGGTGGCTAGATTCCGCAGTTCTCGCTCAGGCCCACTCCTGTGCTCAGTGAGCAGGTGCAATAGCCAGCCTGCTATTGGTGATTGCCATTTGAAATAGCCAATAGCAGGCTGGCTATTGGTCCCGCCCACTGTTTACATTCACCTGCCGGATTTGAAATAAAAATAAATGGGGGGCACGAGCGAGCGAGGGTGGGGGGGAGCGGGGCACCACGGGGGTTACTATTAACTCTCAAGCAACCAGAAACTACTGGCACCTACCAATCCCTGTGTGTGACGGATAACTGGAAGTTTACTGTATTAGGATTAAAAACAGAGATTTTAGTTGCACAACTTTTGCACAATATGTGTAAGCCGCACTGGGTCGCCAGCCTTGCAGTGGATGTGCATAAATTCACCGGTATGGAGAACTGATCCTAAAGTGGACCTAACACCAGATAGAATTTTCATGTTAAAGTAGTATTAAACTCAATAGTGAACCCAGATCAAACAAATATACATTGTCCAGCAAATTATTTCTATACAGTTTTCCCCAAGAACTTACAGTCCCCATGTTTCAGAACAGCCCCAACTCTCTCATCTCTGCTTCCCTGAACTTCCTGTTGAGTACAGGATCACGAGAAGCATAGCGATCTCCAGCAGCCGTCCAACTACTTGCTTGGAGGAGGAGGAGGGGGAGCCGAGGACTGGATTTACTTACTGTGTCTGTGTGTTTGCTGAGACACACAAAGCTTACTAGCACACACAAGGGTGGCTGCATAGGACTCTGCAAGGGATAAGAGCCACTCTAAAACAGGATTTTAGGGACAGTGCTCAGGAGACCAGCTCATTCTCCAGGAAACTAACACTTTTAAACATGAAGGAGCAGCATCCATTGTAAGTGATTTCATCAGCATTTAAAATAGCTCCAAAAACATCTTCCTTTTACTATCCCTGTAAGTACATCTATGCAAGGAAACATGTAAGGGCTCAGTCACAATAGATGCAGTGCATTCCGGCCTGATTTTGGCCAGAGCGCACTGCCTCGCTACAAGCACTATTTTCATTGCACCGCACAGGACCGGACCGCAGGCACGATGTGCCTTGCGATCCCGTGCGGCGGATCGCATTGCAGCCGGAGGGCGTGGCTAACGTGCCATTCACTTGAATGGCCCACCATGCCCCCTCCTACCCCACTAAAAGTGAGCCGGCCGCAATGCGAGGCAGTGCGTTGTGGCCAAAAAATCGGGCTGGAACGCACTGCATTTAGTGTGACTGAGCCCTAAGAGTTCTGGGTCTGTCCACAGCAGCAAGGTGCACTAAACGCATGACTGCTGGGGCGCTGACAAAAACACACCAATCTCGCTGCACACTTTACTTTTCTTTTGTTCATTTGACATTTCCTTCAGTTTTGCAGCCTGTGTGCGGTACAATGCAGTTGTGTCACACCACGCTGTGCTGAAAAGAGTACCGCATGCCATATTTTTGTTTTTTAGAGCACAGCACAGTGGTGTAAACAGAGCTAACTATAAAGAAGGCAGTTGGCCTTGTCTTTGTTTTGGGACTATGCTGGAAACAGCTTCCAGTGCAGCCCCAGTGCATCTTGTGTGAAAACACCATAATACTTAAAGTGACATTAAAGTCAAAAATGTTTCCCCTCCCCCCCATGTTAATGTTAGCACTTACCTTAAATGATGCTTCTTAATCCGATCTTCCTCTTCTTTCCTAATGTTTTCATCTGTCCCTCCAGCGGTGAGGCGGCTCTCTGATCCAGCGGTGACTCCTCTCTGCTTGCAGGCACTTCCAATCCAGCGGTGTCTGCATGCGGGTGCACGCGTCCATAGACTTACCTTGCGTCTCTGCTCGTCTCCTGCCCGAGAATCCGAACTGCGCATGCGCTCGTCCCAAGATGCTTTGCGGCTGCACAAGCAGTATCGGATTCTCTGACGGGAGCGCAACGAAAACAGGGTAAGTTTAAACCGCTGTCAAAGCGTTTTTTGTTTTTTTAAAAACTTTTTGCCTATATCTACTGCTTACTAGCAGTAGATATAGGCAAAAAAAACTGAGGGTTTAGAACCCCTTTACGCTGGCCATGCTCTTGTAGTAGATGTAAATCCTCAGATCCATTTTGTTTCATGTAGTATTTATCCTCTGCTCCTATGAAATGAGCACAGGAAGGATGCTGTTTACACGTCTGACACAGATCAGCCCCCTTCTACAGCCTCTCACCTTGTGACCTATGTCTACAACAATACCATGCCGCAGTGTGATCATTGGGTAAGAAGAGACAGAGGAAGTGCTTCCTTCTGCCTGCAGGAGACTGAGAACATCATCTCAGCCTAGGGAAAGTCACAAGAGATCTAAGACTACATTTTTTAAGATTAAAGGTCTACCTTTTTTAAAAATTGATGCTGGTTCTAGATATTGTCACATTTTGGAAATGTATTGATTCGGACTTGTAAAGCTGCTAAAAAGATCCATAACTCATAATACATTTATATTAATATTTTTCTGGAAAAAAAGTGTATTTTCTATGATTCTAGTACACATGAGGTTTGTTAAACATTATGGATGCACCGATAACGAGTACTCGCCCAAATGTTCCCGATGCCTATCCCGATACCGGAACTTCCGTTATCAGGAAGCGGGGTGGTGAGTCAGCACACGCTGTCTAGCTTTCTGATTGGCTGGGAAGCTGGCTCCATGCTCCCTTGTCATCAGGGAGCATGGAGCTTGTTTCCCGACCAATCAGGAAGCTAGGTGGCGTGTAATCACTCATTAATCAGGAAATCAGGAGGTGAGTCAACACTCGCCCCCGACTTCCTGATTGGCCAGAAAGCCGACTCCATGCTTCCTCCCTTTCCACCTGGTGACAAGGTAGCATGGAGCCGGCTTCTTTGTCAATCAGGAATTTGATCGGCCGGGCAGCTGGCTAATCAGGAAGCCAGGCGGCGAGTCTTTATGCTCCCCCCCCCCCGGCTTCCTGATTGACCAGAAAGCCAGCTTCATGCTTCCTCATCACCTGGTGACGAGGGAGCATGGAGCCGGCTTCCCGGCTAATTGTGAAGCCGGGCGGCGAGTCATTACACGCCACCTGGCTTCCGCAATGCGACAAGAAAAAAGTATCGGTGTTCATACTCGGTACCGAAAACACAATATCGGTCCATTTTTATTAAACATTCTAATAAATAATCTTGTTTATCTCAGTTTTTTTAAATACATAATCATTTCTCAGCTTGTTCTGTTTCATTTTTCATATCGTCAAGAAACCAGCAGAATTCAGATATGAAAAATAATACATTTATTGTCACATTCACAGCAATCAACAGACCAAACAAATACCAATTAAATTCCGCTGCTACATTATCGGCGCTGGGAGATACTGTATATCTCCGGCATACACACTCAGGAGTCAGGGATTTATATGCCTCATGAATGCTATTGTTTGATTTGATGGAAGATTGTATACATTACGCTAGCAGAAAATAAAATCAACCATGTGTTTTCCCTTCATGTTTTTTTCCACTTTGCCTATTAATCAGCAGTGCTGAGTAATGGGATATAACAGGTGATTACATGCAGCATATGTGTGTGAACATGCTTTGAAAAATGTTGTTTTTTGTCTCCAATGCAGATGGAGTGTTCGGGAGATGTCAGCGACGATCGGTGATAGACGTATTCAAGTACGAAGTTTCACCTCCTGTTGTGCAGCGTCTGAGGAGCATTCTTCAGAAGCTCTCCCACAGAGGTAACTGGCTTAGGCTAGAGCTTAGAGGACAACTATCGTGAATAAAGACCAATTTTGTAACCATACGCCTGGCATACATACAGTATATAGGTAGTATAAAGTATGTAATTTATTTAAGCAGATGTCCAGGCAGATTACAAAAAGGAGCTATTTATTCATTAAAATCGTTAAATGGAAGTGAACTCAAAAATGAAAGATTTGCTCTGTTATAGGGAACATCTAAAGTGTTAATTGTGCCTAAGCAGTAACCTAAAAATCAACTTTTTCTCTGGAAGTCCTCCTTAAAATATAATTGCACGTTATGGTATGTGAGAGTGCCAAGCCATTCCTGTGCCTACAGATGTACAGGCAGTCCCCGAGTTACAAACATCTGATGGAGGCCATTACTGTACAGCAGGGGTAGTTGTAATGCTAACGCGCTCATGCCGACAAGGAGTGCCTGCCTTTTTGGGTCTGGTTTGTAGTACTGTAGTACATTACAGAAAGTTGGCTCTTGTTAGACGTGCTGATGCCTCTTCTTCCAGGTCACTTTTTTGTTTACTGCTGTCTGTATCCTCATTAGAAAGTTTTAATCTCACTTCCTGTCCTTGAGACAACAGGAAGTGAGAGGAAATATACCCTTAGGAAGGGAAATTCACTCATATAAGATATATGATGGGAAAACGTGTCTCCACTGAAGCTTTATCACCAATCCTTGTTTCCACAACAACCCAAAATGTTCAAAATCGAACTGTCACAGGGACAGAAAGTGAGGTGAAATCTTCTGAACAGGGGCACACACAGCAAAACAAACTTTGCAGGAGGCTAACCCTTCCCTATGCTATCCAAATCCCAAAACAATTTTTTGGGCTGGAGTTATACTTAAAAAATGTACCTGTGCCAATTTACATACAAATTCAGCTTAAGAACAATAAAACCATAACCTATCTTGTTCGTAACCCGGGGACTGCCTGTATATCTGCAGTGTGAAATCATCTAAGGCACTGCTGCCCTGGGTGCTAGCCTTCGAAGGTGTGAAGCAAGATTTGGTAATGTCACTACTGTGCTGCTCATTGTTCTCCTTGCTGGAGGCTCTGACATCAGGAAGCATAGCCGTTCTTGGCCACCTCCACATAGAGACACAGTGCAGAGCAAGGCATAGTAAGTCAGTAATAGGGAAAGATCAGCTGCAGGAAGCCTGCAGGCAATACTGGTGACTAGCACCTGACCTCTGCCTGACTTTTTTCAGTTCATTTTAATTTTGTATTTTTAAAAGAAACTAGTGTAAACATGTGAAACTAACATGATATCAGCCTTCTGTAATACCTGTGCGGAGACACTCACACTGGCAGAGGCAGGACCACCAACAGGAGCCATTGAGGCTGTGCTGCATGCACATATACTGGCAGAGCAAAGAGCAGAGCGAGGTATGGGATAAGCTCATCAGTCTGCTGCTGATCCTTAATTGTCCACTCAGGAGGCTGTGCGTTTGTGTTTGGAACCAGAATTCTTGACTGGCTTGACCCGTTGTATTGTAGCAATAAAAGTCAAGGATCCAGCTGAGCTGTTTGGCAGGGGTGTCTAGATGTCAGGCTGATTTACCATAAAGTGTAACTGTCAATTAGGTGAGATTTCAGACTCTTGCTGAGTACCCAAGCCATGCCTACTTCAGGATCCCTCTGATGTCATTAAGTAGAGTACTCAGGTCTGGGGTTCATATACCCTGCTGAAAATGCCACTGCTGTGCAAGCAGCATTGTCCAAGTGGATAAAGCACTTCCTACTGGTAATAAAATGTAAAATTACATATAAAAACAAGTGATCAGAATAGTAGATAATGAATTGGTTATATAGTAACGCTTATAGAAAAACTCACGATTAAAAAATAATATAGCAAATAAAATTGCTACACAAGCCATTTTGTAATTTAATCTTATTAAAAAAAAATCACCTCTATATACATGCATATGCCTATCTCTCGCGATGGAGTGTATTTACGTGACTCTGTATTACATTGATCTCCATGTTTACATGTCTTTCATGTTAATTGTGTTAAAACCCTTAATAAACACTTATTATTTAAAAAAAAAAAAAAAAAATCACCTTTCCAATTCATTCTGAGGCCCAAGTAACTGTCTTAAACTGTTCCCGAAAACTCAATGCAGTATGGCAATATGGTGTTGGAGTACAGAATGCCCCCGGAAATGTAATTTCCTGCTTTTGTCATTGGCTCAAACTTTTGCATCAAAACCCATGTCAAATTTTAGTTATCCACTGCAATAGAAGTTTAATTTTTGGTAAGATACAACCTAAGGGTTAACAGCTTCCTAGGGGATACAGACACTGCAACTTTCCTCATTATAACAGTTAAAGTGCACCGGGTTGTTTTGAGGAACCAAACCGTTCCATTCAGGAATCAATCTGGAAACAAACAGCTTTCTATTGATAACAGGAAAAGGTAGTAATCTGCAATTGAGTTTGTTAAATCCTCGCAATGTACCTGCAATGCAGATATCTACAACATAAAAGCTATTTATTATGTAGGCTACAATAAAATCTAGGAGGGCTAAATAGACTCTAGAAAATAACAGAGGATATGTGGACAGGGCAGTTATTTTTGCACTAATCCAACAGATATAACAAAATGCTTTCAGTGGCATTGTAAACAAAGCAATAAGGAGCAAAGAGGGTTTACATACATTTAAGAAACTGAAGTCCATGAAGACACTTACAGCCTGTGTATAGGGACTCTTGTTACCTCCAGCACTGCTTCTCTATGGGAAAAGTCAAGTTTATGGGAATGCAAAATGATTATCCAGCTTAGAAGGAGGCCAAATGCAGGTCAGAAGGAGATCAAATGGAGGTCTCATCTGTCAATAAACTCTGAATAATATTAAAAGCCTCTATAACTAATATCAGATGTAAAAGGATCCTTAAAGCAAGATGCATCCACTCATCAACACAGGTGCTTAAAATACTCAGTTTTGTGTATTGCTTTTGACCAACATATGCTTAAAAATTTCAGTTGTCATACGAGGAGTTCAATATGTCGTGGACTTTTTATAATTTAAATCTAAAATAAAATGTATTATTTTTCACTTTTGTACCAATGTGACATGTATTTGACAATTGCTTTAGATATACAGAAAATTAATATGCAGATTATGTTTCATTACATTTGGATGTAAAGGGTTTCTGTTTTTTAATCAGACAATTCTGTAGGGTACCAATTCTTTCTTTGCTCTCTTTTGTTGTTATTCTAGGAATCTGGGAACTCCTTTTGGTGGTTTGTTTGTAATGCAGGGGAGGTGTTCCCAAATATACCCACTTTGTGTTCTATGATGCTCTAATGTATAGAGATGTATTAAATCAAAGTGGGGTTGGATAAGAGGGTTGGTTATAATTAAAAGGACGTCGTCTGCGAACATGCTCAATTTGTAGTGATGGCCTGCGATAGGTATGCCTGTTAGGTCGGGGGAGGTTCTAATCAGTTGCGCTAAGGGTTCGATGGCTAGGGCAAAGAGTAGTGGGGAGAGGGGGCATCCCTGTCGCGTGCCTCGCAGTATCCGAAATGGTTGGGACCTAAAGCCTGCATATCAGACCGTCGCCGAGGGAGACGTGTATAGGGCCGCAACCCATGACCTAAAATGCGAGCCGAAGCCCCAACGTTCTAGGAGATGGAATAGGTACGGCCACGAGACAGTATCGAACGCCTTGCTAATATCAATGGATAGAAGCATGGAGGGTATCTGTCGTGTCCGTGCTAGGCGGATGAGTAATGCTATCTTGCGGATGTTATCACTCGCCTGGCGAGTAGGCATGAAGCCCACTTGGTCTTTATGGATCAGATTCCCTATTCCCGAATTAAGTCTGGTGGCCATTATTTTGGCTAGGAGTTTAACGTCAATATTGAGGAGAGAAATGGGCCGAAAATTTGAAGGGGTCGAGTTATCCGTGTCCGGTTTAGGAAGCATGACTACAGTGGCTGCTAAGGACTGCAATTGCTCTTTCATGTTTATCCAGGACAAATATTGTGGGAAATGAAAATATAAGGGTAAATGTTAGTTAAACAACCTGATATCTCGATTCCCTACATGAAGATAAAACCAGAATAAAGTTGTCTGGCTCTGTGAATGTTCCCGCTACTGGATCATTTTCAGTGAATATAGAAACTTGCCAAAAAAGTATGACTTTTCTTAGTCTCTAAACAACCAAAATATTAATGTGCGCCAGGATCAGCTCCCACTTTGACAAGTGCAACCTTTTACAGCAAAAACAACATCAAACAAACTCAAAAATCCTGGGAATAATCAAAGAGCAAAAGGAAATGGATGCTTGCCAGCAGATGGTGAAGTATAATTAATTCCACGATGAGACAGATCATCACATTCATCAAAGTAACAAAGTGATAGTTGGAAATAAAAGATATGAGCGCATTAGTAGCATATCGTACTTATAGTGACTTTAATGTACAAGTCTATTATGGGTTGTTCTGCATTTTACTAAGCAAAGAGTCATATAGCATTTATCAAAGCTTAAATACACTTTTTGTACTATCATTCGTGCAAAGAAATGGATGGATGTCTCGATGCAATGATCAAAAGCATCATACATTTGCACAAATGGAAGGGATAGATTGTCTAGAGGAAAGCAAAACAAAAAGCGGTTAGCATCTATGGCTACTATTTGCCATTTAGGAGAAAAGTAAAATTCTTTGTAGCGCTCACCCCCGGAAGGAGCCGCCAGAATAAACAGGGTCATCACTAGTTGTCTAGGGGTTTTGTTCTTCAGATGCCCCAATAGCATTTAACCGCCCTCTTCTGGTGCCCATAAAGCTGATGTGCACTCCAGTAGTACAAAGCTGAATAACTTTTATTAACATCTTCAATCTGGGAATACCGGGTATAGGGATTCTAGACACCGAGGGTAGTACAGACGCAGGCTCCAGACTCACCAGGCATCTGCATCTCAGTGTAGATCCATTTGTAGCTCATTGAATAGGAATTGGGTAATAGATGAGCA